GCCCGTGTGTGCGTCCAGCAGGGCCCGTGTGTGCGTCCAGCAGGGCCTGTGTGTGCGTCCCCATCGACCAAAGAGAAACTTCGGCTCGTTAACTCAACTCTATGTATCTGTCCCGTCTGAGAAACTAAAACAAAGTTGTAGCTTTGGAGAACTCATGCAAACTGACAGAGATATAGCCGTTTTTGTGTTTCTTTTATTTTGTGACGGGGTGAAAACATTATCGCCCACCTTCGCCTTTCGGGGCGACGTTTAAAAGAACTAGAACACACAAAGTAACTTTTATTATTCAGAATCAGAATAAGCTTTATTATCGTTGCACCGAAATACAGTGAGATTATGTTCGTACATTCATCCGAAAGATGGGTGGAGTGCACGTTGCTGCTTGAGAGCGTGGCCCCTTATCCTTTTCCAGAAAACTTTTTAGATAGAAAAGGGGAAAAGGCCATGAGGATAGGATGGTGGTATTACAAAAAAAGATCTCTTCACATCTTGTCCTTCTCAGGACACAATTTAAGACATCAAAAAACTGCCAGCAAGCACATTTATAAACACATTACATATACATTTGATGGCAAGACGGTGAGATTTGTCCATGAAGCACTTCCAGATAGTTCCATAGTCCTGATAAGATGGTGGTATCAGCCGGTAGAGCTCTGATAAGCCTTCACAGAAGTTCTCGGGGGGTTGAAATAGACATAGTTTTTCCTTAGTTTACATATATCCTAAGAGAAATTTAATAAGTTGGCCTGGTTCGAGGCCAAACGGGAGAGTCAGATTCAGATAAGCCACAATTGTTGATTTGTTTCAGTCAGACTGTTCTTTTTCTTGTCAGCCTTGAGTCCTGCTGGTGCTTTCAATCCAAAATGGACAGATTTGTGGGCATTCCACTGGTCCGTGGTTATGAGCCCCCTCCAAGGTTGTCCCCAACATGCTGGCGAGTTCCAGAAGCTGCAGGTGGCCTGCGATTCTCACAAATCGTCTCCATCTTACAGTTTAGCTCATAAATCAGCTGATTTTGAGTACTCAAAGCACAAACCAAACCCTCACACAGACTCTGCAGTTTTGCCATGGCTGCCACTGTCTGCTTCAATAGCCAATAACATAGGGATCCATCGGTTCCAAAAAGCAGAAACCCTGCTATCATGGTTCCAATTATATAAACATCTTCAGCGTCCTCCTGAGACAATACGGAAAGACACGTCAGCTCCAAAACTCCCCCCGGATCCATGACATATCCTGCCGCATGTGTCTCAGTGGGGCATGAGGGCTATCCAGGACCCTGCCGCTTTGTTGAAAAGATTTTATCGATTGTGTTGAAATTCCAGCTGACCAGATCGATGATATTAGTTTTTCATTTCAGAAGATGTGTACATAGGAGCTCCGATACACAGACAGAGAGCAAAAAAAGCAGGAGGAGGACGGGAGAGGGACGAAAAGGCACACGAGAATGAGTGAGGGAAAAAAAAAATTGCCTCCAGACTATAAACAGAAACTTCTCTTTTCTTTTTATCTTAACAGAGACAGTGTTAAACCCCTCCTTAACCAGCAGGGACCACCAGGACACCATGTCTGGAGACCCACCTGTTGAGGGTACCACCAAAACCCCTTTCCTGGTCTTCACAGGTCACCCTGTCACCGAAGATTACGAGGACGCCACCCTGTCCCCGACCCTGGAGGAGGACGAAGGTGAAACTGGTCTGGACTCATTTTGATTCTTGAGCAGCTGTTTCTACATGAGATCATTAAAGTTACTGTTTATCTCTCTATGTGTGTGTCTGTGTGTGTGTCTGTGTGTGTGTGTGTGTGTGTGTCTGTGTGTGTGTAGGAGTTCTGGGACCGGGGGCCATCACAGCCATAGTCATAGCCGTCTTCCTCGGAGCATCGGTCCTCCTCGCTCTCATCATCATCACAATCAGGAAATTCACCGCCTCCTAGGATGAACACATCTGACCTGTGTGTGTGTGTGTGTTTGTGTGTGTGTGTCTGTGTGTGTCTGTGTGTGTATTTGTTACCTTGTAAGATCCATTTTTCTAATACATGCTACATTGTGAGGACCAACTGTTCCATAAGGGGCCCAAAGCCCCATCCCCATAAGAAGAAGTGCCGTTGGTGGGTTAGGGGTTAGGTTTAGGGTAAGGGTCAGGGTTAGGGGAGAAGGGAAGTCAGAGATAGTCATCATTGTATGTTCCCATACAATGGTGCACATGTGAGATACACACAGGTGGAGCAGTGGGCAGATATGTAAGCGCCCAGGGAGCAATTAGGGATTAGGTGCCTTGCTCAGAGACACCACGACATGTGGGAATGGCTGGGAGTCGAACCCCGATTTTCTGGTCCCAGGTCGGCTGCCCTACCTCTACCCCATCTTGGTCCTAGGCTGTAGAAATTAATAAAAAGTGAATGGAAGTCAATGCAAAGTCTCTGTAAAGATGGAAAAACAAATGTGTGTGTGTGTGTCAGTCCTCTACATCTCATGTCAAAGTGTAAGCACCCCCCCCCACCCCCCCACCCCCGTTTGCTGTAGAGGCTGATAGACGTGGCAGGTCCCTTCAAACCGACAGAGAAAACACTCAAGTTGTTGCAGAACATGAAGGAATGATAGAAACTGGCTGGCTGTTCCAGTACAATCGAAATATGTTTTTTGTTTGTTCTTATTTTCGTCTCATTTTACTTTTCGCTCAAGAATCTTGTTTTTATGCTCTTAAAAAAAAAAAAGGTGGACGGGTTCATTATTTACACGTTTTCTGTGGTTTTTATAGGAAACTCGTCTGTTTTTAGTTAACAAGTCTCCCAACATGAGCTGTTTGTTTTGATTTTAACTTGAGCCAATGTAATGTCAAAAAATGACCCGTCTGTGTCTCCTGAAAACGCTGTTTAGGTGTTTGTGTTACACCTTTTACAAATATTTGAGAGTCAAAACGAAACAGAAGAGGGAACATTTTGAGGGGAAAGGACACAGTGGTTTCAGTATTTGTATCTGCGAAGCAAAAGGAATCTAAATAAATGTATGTCTTTTTCCTGTTGATTTTCTTAAAGTTATGAAAGAGAATATTGCTGTTACACAATTTACCTTAAAGAGTTTACTTTAAAAAATAAAAAAAAATTACAAAGTTTTGACTGCTGTGTTTTATTTTAGAATGTGGCAACTGGGTCATCCATCCATTATCTTTACCTGCTTCTTCCTTTCTGGGCCGTGGGGGTCGCCGGTGTCGCAACCAGGTCATTATTATTTATTAACTGCAGCCAGAAGAAAAAGGTGGAAAAATCATGAAAGCGTTTGTTAGCAAAATATCTCACATACCACTGCAACTTTCAACATGAATTTAATTCATCATGGCCACCACAACTTAATCCTCATTAGCCAACATTAAAATGACTTGTACGCAGACATTATCAGTTTGACTGGACACGTGGTGTGTGGAACATTTTGCAACGATTAATATGTAAAAAGATACGTTATCACAAGAGATGCTGTTCAAAAAATGCAAACGCTAAACTGTGAGCATGCAAAGTTAACCACGCTTCCAAAACTGAAGCAGGCGTCGCCTTCCTGCGCACATTTATTTCGTTTTCATTTCACGTGTTTACAAAAAGCAAGAATTCACACGCTGAACCATTCCTGGGTTTATCGTCAACATCCCGCATGCTGGCTGGTTTTAAGTAAGAATATCCAAAGTAAAGAGAGCAGCGATATATTCTCACACTTTTAAAACGAGTAAAGTCATTTCAGCACCCGAAACCAGGAAACCCTCAGAAAGCAATCTCAGTTTAAATCTGCCTCTGCAGCTTCTCTCAGCTCCGAGTTCAGTCATCCTCTTTGACACGATCAGAGGCCAAAACACAGCAACGCCGCAAAAATCGCAGACTGGCCTTCCTATGCTGACTGAACCCTTGCTGTAAATAAATAAACAAACGAATAAACAGAAAGCCAATCCATCAAATAGTCTGAATGAAGTCAGCTGGTTTATATGCACATTTCAGCATCAACAAAGAACAATAAGAGCCAGCACGGTGATGGAAACTCGTTTGAGGAAACGTAAACCACAGTCAGATGCAGTCATGGGAGACCTGTGGCATTAGCCACGCCGGTGTTTCCTTATTTTTAGTCTTTTGTTGTTCTTGTGTCATGTTGTGCGTCAGTTTAGAAAGCTTGTGACAGCTCAGTTGATCACCTTCAGTACCCAACAACTAGCATTAATACAAAAGAAATGGTGGCGTTTTAGAGAGAATTTAAAATACACTGTATCATCTGTTATTGTTTGAACGCTCGTTCAGTATTCACACTACAGGGTTCCTGTTTCTCTTTAGTCTTTGTCTCTTCTTCCTTAGCATTTAGCTTCTTTTAGCTGCTTTGTTAGCTTTTGTCCTCTTTTAGTTTTGGGCTATAATTTTGCTACTTTTAGAAAAAATATACATATATTAAACTTTATGTAGCGTTTTACTTTCACCTTTTAGATGGCACTGCTTTGACTAATTTTAGCTAACATTTTACTGTTTTTAGATTTTAGCTATTGTTTTCTTCTTTTAGCTAGCATTTTTTTTTTTCTTTTTTCAACCGCTCCCTTCTTCAGGGGTCACTCCAGTGAACTATCTCGCAAGAAGACATGGTGATTATTTTTATGCCGGATGCCCTTCCGTCCTGACACAACCACAGACCATCGAGCTACCACAGCCCTCTGTGGAGCAGAGAGCTGATATCTAGGGCGCCGGGGGGAGCAGATGGTGGGGGTTAAGGGTCTTGCTCAAGGGCCCAGAATGAGGCAAGTGAGGGTGGAGGCAGTTGTGGGTGCTTCCAACTTTCCCATCCATATATTGATGTTATCGGTACAGGGAGTTGAACCAGCGACTTTGCAATCACAGGCCCACTTTCTCTAGCCTCTGCACCACCACTCCCACTTAGCTAGTATTTTAGTACTTTTAGTTTTTAACCAGCATTTCTCTATTTTTACTTTTAAGCTAGTTTTGATACTTGTGGTTTTTAACTAGTGTTTTGCTACTTTTAGCAAACACTTTGCTACTTTTACTTTTAAGCTAATATTTAGCTTATTTTAGCTACTGTTTTGCTACTTTTAGTTAACATTTTGCTATATTTATTTGTTGGCCGACTTTTTGCTACTTATACCTTTAAAGTATTGTTTTGCAACTCTTAGCAAGTGTTTTGCTACTTTTTCTTTTAGTTTCTGTTTGCTACATTTTAGTTTTTTTGTTTTGATATTTTTAGCCAGCATTTTGCTACTTTTACTTTTAAGAAAATTTTGCTACTTTTAATTTTTTAGCCAGCATTGTGCTGGGTATTGTTTGAGCTAAAATTTGCTACTTTTAGCATTTGGGTACTTTTACCTTTAAGTTAGCCCCACCCTTAACAAAAAGTAGTACATTTTAAGTTTATTTTTGCAAGTATACTTTAAGTTAAGTATAAGTATATCAAGTATACTACACACCATACTTGTAGTGTACTAGAAGTATACTGATTTAATACTTGTTTGGACTAAATTGGGACATTTTATACTATTTTTAAGTATATCAAAAAAAGTTTATAAAAAGTAAACAAAGTACACTTCCTCATTTTAGTGTAAAATAAGTATACTTGTAGTACACTTAAATAAACTAGTTTTTGCGAAGGGCACTTTTACCTTTCAGCTTTTAGCTAGTGTTTTGCTTTTATTAGCTTTAATATCTCAGTTTCAACAATTTTCAATGCATTTCTTGAAATTCACAGCACTCACAATGAATTTCCACAGAAAATCCAATTTGTCTGATTAATTTTCTGCAGAGGACCACACGTTTAAATTCAGCCACTGTTGCTGTGACGTTTCCACTTAACATTTGTCAGAGTAAGACCTGCCGGGCAAGTTCAGCTCTAAACCATCTGAGCAAACATACTTGATGTGTGGCACGACTCAGGAAGTGGTGATGAAACAACAAAAGGTGGAAAAGCAGAAGTGCGTCTGGCACAGAACAGACAGTCAGAAACACTGAAAAGTCCTCAGAGACGGTCATGGGGTAAGAGCACCACTCGATTTCACATTTTTCACTCAAGACGGCGCATTAACGAAACAGACTCTGTGAGCTGGACTTAAATCTTAAAGTGTGTTGTTAAAAGGTTTAAGGTGTTCACAGGACAGCCTGCTGTTTAAAAAAGGCAGCAGAAAATAGTTCAATGAGTAGGTTTTTTTTTTTTTAATTTATTGGATTATAATTAGTTAAAGATAACACAATATGCATGGGTAGTTATGCATTAATAACTACTGTGTAATTTCACTTTTTAACGCAACAAAGATATTTTAGTTCTCACCATTTATATCTTTGGTATTGGTTTGTAAATATTTTCATGTCAACCTCAGATTAAAAATAGTTTGAATGTTTCCCGCCACGAGCTGACCCCTGCCACCTCGAACCATTCTTAGTGTCTGACGAAAGTCTTTTCTTTTCTTCTGCTCAGTTAAGTTCAAAACCTCAAACAGTGATTAGTTGTTATGTATTAAAGCGTGACTCCTTCTTGCAAATGATTTGACAAACTGCGAGTGATTTCCACCAACTTGAAAAAACTCGAGTGTTGATCTTTTCAGCTTTAAAGTGAACTCGTTACCAGATTTAAATTAGTAATCCAGATGCTGAGACAGATGTGACAATATGTAGCGTTCTCATGGTTGTCGGCCTCAGACAACGAGCCGTGTACCCACACACCTTGTGAAGTTTCACTCTCGCACCGTGGTTTGCAGTGTCAACAGGAAATTCATTTCGACGTTGGTAAAAGTTTACTGTGAAATATTTTTAGTGCTGACGGAACCGAACTGAACCGTTCTCCCGCAGGGACAACGGAACGGACTCCTGCTCGATCCACGCCGACCAGCTCATGACGGTTCTGGAGCTGGTCATCTACATCCCCATCTTTGTTGTGGGGCTGCTTCTAAATGTGGCCGCCCTGCTAGTGTTCTGCGTGTGTCTGAAGAAATGGACAGAGTCCACCATCTACATGACCAGCTTGGCTCTGATGGACCTCCTCCTCCTCCTGCCCTTACCCTCCAAGATGCACGCTGCGAATAACAAGTGGTCCGGCGAGCTCTGGCCACTCTGCTCCTTGCTGGAGAACCTCTATTTCGTCGGCACTTACGGCAGCATCTACATGATCATGTGCA